GAGTGACCTGCAGCCAATTCCCAGCCCCTTGGAAAGCATGGCTCAAGTTGACAGGTGGCTTAGAGGTGGTCAAAGGAGCTGTGCCTTCTCCTGTGTGGCCGTGCAGCTGCGAAGTCTGGGGATCTGAGCAGTGCTTTAATGCTGAGAGTGACTTTAATTGTATAAAGACAGAAGAAACCTGAGAGCCTCTGCTGGCTCAGCTTGGCATGATGTGCAAGCATGCTGGCACTTTTTCATCCCAGACATTCAAATGTGATGCAGGCTTTTCCCAAGCTGTCTCCAGCTGCAGCTTTGATAGATTTTGCCCTTCCCGCACACAGAAAGCAAGAACAGTGAGTGTTTCTGATGCCAGGTTGTGTAACCCAGCATGAGGGGCTTGTCCCCAGCCCTACATTGTGAGACCATCTTGTCCACCTCAGGAGAGACCTGCAGCCTGGATCATTCACCTGTGGATGTCTACCAGACATTATTTCTGTGTTTGCTGCTGCATTGCTGTCCTGTAAAAAAAAGGAAAAATTACTAAAATGCTCAGTCATCCTGCTATTAACTGCCAGGAGTGCATCCCTGCTGGCTTTATGGCTCACTGTTTATCAGCACTGGGCTCTTATTGCAGGCCGTTTAGAAGCATTGAAAGATTTGTGTGTAGATTCATTGGTTGTCTAAGAGATCTTGTTGACCACCAGCTTAAAAGTTAGTGTGTGTCTGCTATGATTGCTTGCATGGCTATAAAGCATTCAAGAGATAATTGTTGTGGTCTCTGAAGTGAAATTCTTCTGCTGAAGCCACTGCGGAGAAGCAGAGGGTTTGGTAGATTTATTTGGTTTTAGCTTGCCTCCTTTTGTGACTTGATCTGCTCAGAGACAGCTTCTTGGAGAAAATAAAGCTGGACTGTGACAGTCCTCAGCCCAGGAGGGAGACCTGTTCCAACGTCTCCCAGCCCAGCGACCAAGTGTGCTGTGGCACGAGGGGTGGAAGGTGCCACATCACCTATAGCTACCCTGAAGCCTGGCCTGCAACACCATCAAGGACACGTTCTGCCAAGCTCATGGGTAAAGAAACACTGCATTTCTGATGGCCACTCAGATGCCAATAACTCACAGCAAATAGGGAAATGCAGAAGAAGCAACATCTGCCAGGTGTCCAGGGGAACACCGTGTGAAAGGGGAATGGCTGTGAAACCCTCAGTGGACTGGAGAGGCCTGTTGTATTTCTTCCTATGAAAGTGGCTGTCTCCGTAGCACTGCAGTGTCACCACACAAACACTGAGGGGTTACACTCCTGCTGATAACGCTCCAGTTTTGTTCTGGCAGGGGCCATAATGATGGAAAGCAAGTATAGGAGATCGTGAGTTCCCAACTGCTAAACATTGAGTGTTGGGAGGGAAACTGGGCTCTGTTTTGCTTAGATTGGAAGGTGGGCTGTAGGTCAGTTTAGGCCTTTGCTCTTGACAGCGGGGTTTTCCAGCAACTGTGTTGGGAACATGGCTCTACCTTTTACTGCAGGATACCTCGGAGGATGGCCAGTACCTTGCTGCATGCACAGAGCAGCTGCTCCCTTGCTCCAAACAATATGTATTAGGACTTGCCAGCCCTGAAATATTTTTGTCCTGTGGCTGCTTACCTTGTACCCCCACATCTATATGTCCTGAATCTGGCCAGGAGCTGGAAGAAACCAGGTGTTTTGTCAAGACTACAACACTGTGCAGAGTCCTTTGATTCCTGAGGGCCACGTCTTTTCCCCTAGGAGAGCAGTGCAGCCCTGGGATAGGGCACAGAGATGTGGTGGCATCTCCACCATTGAGTTCATCCCCATGGATGAGGCCTTGAGTGACCACAGTTAGCTGTGAGAGTGGTTTTGCTTGGAGCTGACATCTCAGAGACCTCCTCCCATTTGAGCCTGTCAAGGATTCACTAGGTAGAATACATCACCATGGTCTCAACAAGATTCCCACACCAGAAATAGTGGAAACTATAAAAGCATTTATGCATGTTTCACCCTCTTCTTACGCCTTTTAAACATATTTCTCCTGAGTGATGGAGTTGGAGCCTTCCCTCCTCCTGAGACTGCATAGCAGCACCAGAGCGGAGGAGAGATCCGTGGCTAATACACGGGCTGGAAGGGCTTGCCCAAATCCCATTCCAGGAGCCAAAGTACTTAAACTGGTGACTGGCCTGACTCATCTGTGCCAAAGGAACAGGCCAGCTGCAGTTATTTTTCCACAAAGACACCCTTTTTCTTTCTCTAAGCCTTGTGTAAATGTCAATAACCAGTCTTTAAAGACAGCTAACTGTTTGGCAGGGTACCCCTCCAAGGGGGAGGATAAAGACAGGCTAGGCAGCTTCTCTGGCTGCAGAGCAGCAGAACCTTGCTGGGCCAGAGCATCTGGTTTGAAGCTTAGTTCCATCAAAAAAACCCCAAGGACATAAATATGGTTTATTGCAATAGTTTAGAGCCAGCTGAACTGCCCAGTAGGAACAAGTCTGTGGAAACACCAGGGGAGTTTGGGAGCATCACAACCCAGCCCCATGCTGCTGGCTTTTTGGCAAAACTCTGTGCTGTTTCCAGGGGTACAGGGTGCTCTTGGCTCTGCTGAGAGCTGTGTCCTCAGCACAGCCTCCTCCCACCACACACAAGTGCCCTTCCTGCCCCCTGTGACCACACACTTGTGGAAGACATTGTGAAATCAAGCTGATGCTTCAGTCTGGTGATGGTTACACTGGAAACAGCATCATGGTGTGTAACAGAGAAAAGGGCAGTGCCCGAGCAAGGGAGACACTACAAAGAAGCAAGGAACTCCATGGGACATGCTGAAACATGCTGATCCCGTTTATCCCTTGCCTCGTGGTCAAGAGACCTTCCCCCAAAGACCCAGTCTCTTAGAGAGGCTCATTTGCTGCTGCTTTGTAGAGAAAGCTGAAGAACAGCTGACTGCTGCTGGGAAATGACATGTTCTGGTTTCCTCCCCTCTTACGCTGCCCTCCGGTTGCAAGGCAGACACGTCTTCCACAGGTCACTCTCCACTGCAAGTGCCCCTAAGAGCTACATTTAAACCAAGGAAAAGTTTGGTCCAGCAGCAAAGTACTACCTGGACACATTTACACTCCCATGATTTGGAAGAGAGGTCCCTCTGCATATGATCTCATTCAGGGCAGTTTTCCTCAGAGCATCCCCACATGGGTCCCCCTGGCAAACATCTGAAGCAAGAATGTGGGGTGATCAAAAATTGACATCTACACAACATTTGGGAGTCTGCTCTGCCAGAATGCAGGTACAGGGAGCCTGCATCCTGCCTTTGTCACTGTACCCAGGACCTGCGATCCAGCGTGCTCCAGAGGCTGCTGTGACAGCAGTGGTTCAGCAGAGCTGCTGTGGGACAGCATCCCCAGGTCAGTGGGAGGTGGGTGTGGAGCAGGGGAATATTTGCTCTCCTCTCCTTAACCAAACTGTCCCTGGAACACAAACTTTGGAAACCTGAACCTCCAAACACATCCAAGATCAACAAGATACTGCAGCTCAGTTATCTCTACACAGAGGTGGCATTAAAATCCCTAAGGATACAGAGAGATGTGGTTGGGGGTGGGGGGGTGCAATGGCATGAGCATTCTAACAAATCTTTGTATATTAACCAGCAAGTACACAACCACACCTGCCACCAAGGGCTTTATAAATGCAGCAATTGCAATGTCTGTATCATCTAGCATATAACACCTGGGAATTAGAGAGAAACCCCAGAGCTGAGCTCTCTTGGTCCTTCTAATGTTGCACCATTTCCTCAGCTACCCTAGATGGCTTGGACTTCCCTCATGTCCTGAAGAGAAACTGTCCTCAGATGAGGTTTTCAGCCACAAAGCTGTTACTGGAAACGTCCAGCTGCAGTTTTCTCATTCATGAGCTTGGGCCAGCATTCAGATGTGAAAACAACCCTGGCCAAGCCACCCCAAGCACCTGAGGCAGGGACACAAATACCTTTTAATTTTGGTTTGTTTTTTTTTTCTTTTTATGCAGCCAGAAAAACAATCCAATTACCTTTTAAAGAGAGCCCTGCGTTGTATGTTTGATTAAAAGAACCGCAGGGGTTAAAAAAGTAATCTTATAGAAAGAGCCACTGTCAGAAGGTGCTCAGTTTTATCCCTGTATAGAGCAAAGGCCAAGCTCACTCTCTGCAAGGCTCTGCAGTAAGGTGGGAAGCACTGCCTAGAGCTGCTCAAACCAACACACACCAAGACAAACACATCTCCCTCCCCTTCCCCCAGAGCTTTCCATCCTGCCTTATCTGTAGGCAGCAAATCCCACCCAGCTCAGTAGCTGATTGAAATACAACACCTTCAGAGCATCACCGAGGCTCACTCTTTGTGGTGAAAGCCAGGTCAAATGCCAAAACTGGCTCTGGCTGCCATTTACACCAGCTGTTCCCTTTCTGCAAAGGGGCATGTTTCCTCCTAGTGCTTCTTATTGTAGTGATAACAGGGACAATGACTTGGCCATAAGGAAGGGTCTAACTTTCACTTGATCCTGGTATTAGGAAAGAACCTGCCCACACCCCCTTCTACAACACCTCTCCCAGCATCCATCACAGCCCAGTACACAGACAGAATAAAGCACTGATCCCAGGGCAAGCCGAGGTGGGGGAAGGGGAGAAGAGAGAGAACGGAGCTTGACTCAAAACAAAAGCAGAGAAACCCGAAAAGGCTGTTCCTGGCACTGCAAGCAGGGGAAGAGTGAAGAGCACTTCGGGAACACAGTGATTAGTGGGGAACCCTAGGAGCAGAGAAAAGGGTCGGGGCTCCTCCCATCCCAGGGCTGCAGCAGAGGCAATGGAAGCATTTGTGTTGGCAGGAAGGCAGCAGGAATAGGCAGCTCTTTCCTGTTTCGGGCAGCAGAATTCGGGGTGGATGTGTGCTCCTCCCTCCCAGTGGCCACTTGCAGGAAGCTGGACCCGTGTCCAAATTGCCTCCCCAGCCCCATGGGTGCTTAAATAAGATACACAGCCAACATTTTGTTCCACCTTTATTTTAACAATCAGATAAAAACAGCCATATTTTTAAAAGAGTCATTACATGGCAATTATAAAGTGCATTTTCCACTTGAATGTTGTGTACAAAAATATCTTTTAAAAACAAACATGCAAAACATCCTACAAGGCACTTCCAGGCATAGAGCAAGGAGAGCAACCCCCTCACTTCTATGTTCACATTGGCAATGGAAAAAGGGAAAAGGGGAAAGGCCACAAGTAGTATTTTTAAACTGCTATTGATCAAATAGTCAGTTCCCAACCTAGCTTTTACTTATGGCACTGCTATTCTAGCTTATCTTCCACGTTCCTCCCTAAGCACACCCAAGGCACAGCCTGAAAACAAGCCCATAAGGAGACACCACCGTCCACAGCACCCCAGACCTACATGCCTTGCATTTTCACTTCCAAAACCTGCTTTCTGCCTCCAGTAGGAAGGGCCTCACTACAAGGATATGTGCAAAGAGAGGACTCCATTCCCAACCACACTATTTCCTGACAGGCACAGGCTGGCTTTGCAAGGAGAACCCTGCAGCTGTAGTAGAGCCCACTAACAATGTAATACTAGGAAATATTTTGAAAGAGTCTTTTAATACTAGGCAGGCAATACAAACAGCCACCACTACACGGCTTGACAGGCAATATAAGCACTGTAGTGTTTCCCTGGACACTGGCATCTTTAGTGAAGAGGAAGAAGTGCTGAAAAGATACGAGCGGTCCTTGGTCCTCTGATCATCCGGAGAGCCAGATTTGCTTCTCTGACTATAAGCCCCCTGCCAGCAGAGCAGTGCACATCTGGTTTTGCTGGGAGGCTTATGCTAAGCTACACAGAGCCATACTTCTTCCACCTATTCATACACCTGTGCTCAGACCAGCCCCAAGGCCTGCAGACACAGCAGCAACAGTTAGTCAGCCTGGCCTTTATCCTTGGGTCAATAGTAGGGCCCGAGCTTCTCGTAGCCTGAATAACTGGGCCACTCAGGAAAGAGGCCATAGGAGCACCGAGGGCTCCCAAACTGGTCGAATGCACTGCCAAAGTCAGGAGCCTGTGGGGGACGGGCAGCTTCCTGGGCAGACTTCAGTTCTGACCGTATGATCCTGTAATTTGTGCCCCTGTTGTTGTCCCAGTACACCTTCCCATTGCACTCAAAGGAAATGGCAAACTCAACTCTTTCGTGTGATTTAATCCCCTCGGGCAAGCTGATGTCAAAGGAAAACGTGTCCTGATCCGACCCTCCGTACGTATCCTTGACATACTGGCACGGGTGATCCACAAAGTTTTTCCACGTGTCAAACGTCATCCGGATCTTCACCGTCTTTTCAAAAGCGAGGTTCTTCACCTTCACTGTTCCCACAATAGATTTCTCCTTTAGCATACAGTTTTCCAGGCAGACACAGTCCGTCTGGAGGCGGTTCCTGAAGTCCAGATAGTCTACGGAGGGCTGAACAAAATCCAGGACAAAGCTGTCCTTCTCCACTGTTGTCAGACCCACGATGTTGTCTATCAGCTCTGTGATGTTGAAAGGAATATCTAGGGGATCTTCAAACTCTGAGAACACCTTCACCATAGTCAGGGCGAAGCCTCTGCTATCTGCAAACGACACCCTCTTCTTTGCCTTGCTGTGTGGGAAGGAGTTTGCTGCCTCTTCTGCACCACCCAGCACAGCCTTGCTGCTCAGCTGGATGCAGGGCCGCAGCGGCTTGCTTGGCTTCGGAGCAATTTTGCAGGCACACTTCTCTCTTGGCAAGGGCGAGGAGCACAGGTACAGCTGCATTGCCACGTCCACAGCCATTGCTTGCTTGTGAGGGAAATAGTCTAATACTCTGGAAGACGAGAAGAAGGGTCAGTTGATGCCAGAAAAGCACTTTAATACAAATTTTGTCAGGCAGTTGATATAACACTTCCCCCCAGCCATCCCAAATAAGCTTGCTTCTTAATTAAAGGCAGGCACCTGCATGGTGTGATTTACAGACACTGTGAGAAACACACTACAGAAGTGGCAGGACCAGAGCCTCTTGTGCCCTTGAACAGCTCTTCCAACTGCTGCAGGGACAGAGTCGCCCTTTGAAGGTGCACACACAGGCACTGTCCTACTAGGCTAGCATTAGCAGGCTCCAGAGCATTTGCAACCCAAAGCAAAGCCCGTGGCTCAGTCCTGCCAATGCTCACAAAACCCCCAGATTATCAAATTTCAGTGCTATGTAAAGCAGTGTTCCTGCTGTGCTTTCCTCCCTCCAGAAGAGATTCTTCCCAGGGCTTCACAAGCTTTTGTAGGAGTAGGAACTCAGTTTGCCACAAGCTGCCACACATAACTGACTTCACCTCTCATAAAACCCCAGATGTCAGCCAAAAAGCACTCGTTCAGTTGAGGTACACACTTTGCTCATCACTGTCCCCAGAACTGCTCCATCCAAAGCACCTCCAAGCAGTATTGCAAAGATGGCAACAGTCTGACAGAGCATCAGGGCACAGGCTTAGCCAACACTGCTCTGGAGCTTTATTCCCTCTGCTCCATTTTAAAATCAGCTCAGAAGGCACATCAGCCAGTTGTACATCCAGCATGGAGTCTGCACCTCAAGTCTCCACAGGGTTTGTGCTAAGCCCCTGGAAGACATCCATACAGCCACAGGGCTCTGCCAAACACAACCCACCTACCGAGGTTCACTGAGGCTTTGGAAGCAAGTCCTTCTCCCAAAGACACAGGCCACGTGCCCCTCCACTACAGCCTCCCCTCCAGCACCCAGCCACTTCCTCCAGGGATGCAGCACCATCTCTCTGAAGGGCACTTTGCCAGATGTACCCAGGAGATGCCTCTGCAGCCTAGCAGCTCCCAGAACTCTGCACCCATCGCTCCTGCCCTTACGCTGACGTTCCAATGGATGCTTTTGGCAGACTCTCTTTGGCCTGGCTCTGGCTATACTGCTGGCTGGATTTATCACACATATCCCCCTTAAGTCAACTGTATTGTAGCCGACTTTAAACACAGAGTATTCCCCTAATAAAAATCCTGCTTGGCAGCAGGCCAGGCTCGAAAGCTGCTCCCACCACACAGAGAAGAACGAGGCAGCAACAGCAGCAGTGACCACTGGCCTTGTGATGCAGCAGAGTTTGGCTGCCAAAGCCATGCACAGCCAGCTCTAGTACTTGATTGCTGCTCCTGTGCCAAGAAAAAGCAAGAGCCACACTCTCCAGCTCAGTGCTTTAACTCCCCACCCTGCAACACCAACACAGCAGCTATGAGCAGGCTTTCACAGCATCCACTCAGCAAGGGTATCTGTTTATTCAGAGCACATGCGCTAAGGCTCGCATCCCAACACACCCACCAGCCAACTCCTTCTGCAGTGCCTCCAATCAGCTGCACAAAACTCAGATCCACCTGTCTGCTAACACTACTCTGCTCATCTCTACCTGGTTTGGCCAAGTTTTTGTTAGTACGCACTTTATATAGGTCATTTCCTCCTTTAAATTAATGCAGCTTCCAGTGCTTCTTCTCTTACTTGGGCCAGTTTCATCTGCATTGCATATTTTCCCAGGGAAATTTATTCAGCTGAATGAATTCCTGTAACTTCTGAGAAGCCAGGTTTCTTAGGAAGCCTTGGTTATTCACTTTTAGAATGAAGAGGCATAAAATGCCCAGCTGCATAAATTGGGAGTTTTTTTCCAAGCTAAAAACTATAGCAAGAGTTTTTTATAACCAACTATGAGCATGAGTCCTGTGCTTTTATGAACTGCCAGTTCATTTGATATCCCAGACAACTTTTTCTGCATTGGAGAGTCTGCTGATGCCCAGCTCCCAGCCAGAGGCAGGTTTCCACTTTGGGGCTGAGGAAGGCTGTCTTAAGCTCCAGATCCTTTGGAGGTGAGAGCAGGAATATAGTTTTGAGAGCTTATTCAGGAAATAAAGCTCCAGGAAGCAAAAAGTGCAAGGCAGGGATCCCTGTGCAGGTAGAGAGGCCAATTCCTTTCCGTCCCCCTCAGAAGTGAAGCAAACTTGACTCTGCCCCCGGACTTCTCCTGTAGCTTTACCAGAGAAGGATGTCTGTCGCCACTCCCTTCTCTACGACGGAGAATTAAGCCAGAGCCAAGGAACTACTTACACCTCCCTTATCGAGCCCTTCGGCTGCCCCGGCTCTGCCTCCCACGCTGCCTGCGGACAGTGCCCCCGGCCCCGGGCTGGGCGTGCAGCCCTTGCCGAGCCCAGGTTCGCGGCCGCGCCCCCTCCTCCTCCCCGACCCAGGGCGGGCACAGCCGCTCCCCACAGGCGTCTGCCCGGCGGGCTCGCTCGCTACAGCCCGCCCCCTCCGCTACAGCAGCCAAGCCGCGCCGCCCAGACCCGGCAGAGGCGGCAGCAGAGCCCCGCCGAGGGGCAGCCCCGGGGCTACCGCTGCCGGCTCAGCCGGGGGCTGCAGGAGCCAAGCCGCAGGATCCCGTTTTCCCGCAGGAACGGCACCGCTGCGGCGGGGAGCGCCAGAGCCGCTCCCGCACACACGAGGAGGCTGCGAAGCCGAGCAGGCGGGGAAGGAAGAGAGCGGCGTCAACGCCGGGGGTCGCGGCGGGGCGGCGCGCCCGTACCTGGTGCAGTGCATGGGGCCGGTCCGGCAGCACCGCCTCACACCGCGCGGGCCCCGCGCCGGCCTCTTAAGGGCGCCCGGCCCCGCCCCACTGGGCGGCAGCCAATCAGCGCGCTCGGAGCGCGGGCGCCCGGCACGCGAGGGGCGGGGCCGCGGCGGTCCTGAGGGGCCGCGCAGGGGCGGAGCCCGCCCGTCGGGGGAGTGCCCTGGGCGGCGCGGGGGCTGCCGTGTGAGGGGAGCTCGCCGAGCAGCCCCGGCACTCCCCCACGGCAGGGCAAGCTCGTTGTGGTAAAGTGACAAGCACTGTGTCCGGCGTCGGCTGCCCCCAGGCCCTCACTGTCCGTCGGTTCCTGCGCCAGGTTGCTGTCCCTGCGTGTCCGGAATCACGGAATCAATTTGGCTGGAAAAAACCTCTGAGATGACTGAGTCCAACCTATGACCGAACACCACAATGTCAACTAAACCATAGCACTAAATGCCAGGTCCAGTGTTTCCTTTAAACACCTCGGGGAGGGTGACTCCACCAAGTCCCTGGGCAGCCCATTCCAATGTCTAACCACTCCTTTTCTGTGAAGAAATTCCTTCTAATGTCCAACCTAAACCTCTCCTGCTGCAGCTTAAGACGATGTGCTCTTGTCCTGTCACGGGTTACCTGGGAGAAGAGGCTCCTTTCAGGTACCTGTGGACAGTGACTAAGATCTCCCCTGAGCCTTCTTTTCTCCGGACTAAACACCCTCAGCTCCCTCAGCTGCTCCTCGAAGAACTTATGTTCCAGACCCATCACCTTGCCCTTCTCTGGACCCGCTCCAGCACCTCAGTGTCCTTCCTGAACTGAGGGACCAAAACTGAGAAGAGCAGAGCAGGCTTTCCAGGTGCCACAGGTAAGCAGCTATACCCATGGGAATGTGCTCTTGAGACAGGAAAGCCTTTTTGGGGCACCAGTCCTCCTGCCTGAGCTGGCCCAGGGTGTTTGGAGGAGGGTGGCTGTCACACTCCTATCTTGTGGCCACAGCGCCAGAACTGTGCTGGCCCTGGGTAGAAACCTCCAGAGGATACTCAAAAATCTGCTTTCCAGACAAAATTTATGATGTGCAGTGGGGGAAAAAAACCCCTCTTTTTTTGTAGAGGTGGCTTCCGTCCCTGAGGAAAAAACAGCAACAGGGCCTGGCTGGCAAAGAGATTGGCTCCATGGGAATCCCTATCCAGGGATATGTGCAGGGCTGGAAAGGTGTTTCCAACATCCTGAAAACATCTGCCAGGTGAGTTGATGCTCTGCCGTAGACTGGTTTGCAGGGCCAGCTGGGCCAAGGGGTCTTCTCAAGTGTCCCCCTGCCTCCACTTCCCATTGCTGCTCCTTTGGGCTGCTCCCAAGTCCATGTCAGCACAGAACCCAGTGTCCTCAATAGTTTGGAAAGTGTGCATGGAGCTGGCCTCCCTGTCAGGGGAGTGGCTCTGTGGACAAATGCCACCCCCATGGGAAAGCAGCAGAGGCTGTAAAGCCTGCTGGAAGGTAGGGGTGGTGCATTTGCCTTCTCCCCATGGTAGCAGTGAGGATACTTTTTGTGCCACATCTGGCCTCTAACTGCACAGCTGCAACAATGCTCTCTCTCACCTTCCTTACAAAGCAGAAAGCAGGACTGAAATGTCAACATTTGTTTTCCATTAACTTGTGGAAACACAGACAGCTATTGTTAAAGCTGGAGACTTCCTGCTGTAAGCTGCCATTTAAAAAACTTATTACTCTGCAAGGCAAAAGGGTTTTGTTGGGGGAAAAAAACATGGTTTTTGTTCATAAATTCTTTTTTGATAAAACCAATGGTAGCATTTAAAGCTGGGGAGAGAGAGCTGAAAGATGTACCCATTGCAGGAGTTTTGCAGATTTACAGTAATATTTCATGTGCTGAGGGTATGCTGGGATTTTAGCATGTGTTGCTGAATGACAGGGTTTACAGCAGGGATGAAGGGACCCATGTTCAGATTTCCCCAGGAGACAGACATGGGATAAAGTGGATGTGGCCCATGGACCCCCTCCAGTGCTGCCTCTCCTTCTCCAGGCAGAGCCACTGGCTCACCCTGGCTCAGCGTCACTGGTGCAGAGAGGTTTGAGTGGAAGTGCTGCACTTAATGGGATGAGCCCCAAAACTGGTGGAAGCCCTGACCTGACTCACACTTGTCACTCTGGCCCACCACAAGTTTCTCCGGCACGTTGCTGGCAGCTGTGCACCGTGGAGGTGCCGAGGGAGATGCTGGCTCCCCTCTGGGCTGTGCGGGCTTTGCCCAGCCAGCCCGCAGTGCCAGGCACGGCATGCACATGAGGTGCTCGGGCTGCATTTCTGCCCCTGTTTGCCGTGAGCGGGGCAGGGTGTTGCACAACTGTGGCTTGTGTTTGCCCCTGAAGCAAAGGTAGGTGGATGTCTGGGCAGGGCATTGTGGCAGACTGTGGACACAGGTTCTTATCTCTGGGAAGCCAAGATAGTGGCTATATTTAGCTCAGTGTTACGGCCTTGGGCAGTGATCTTTGCGATTTCCCCACAGCTTTCCCCACACCCCTCCTGCTTTGCAGAGGGGTGAGATGAGCTTGTTCCCTGGCATGAGAAATAGGCTGCACGTTGCTTCTCTTTAGGGCAGTGTTGTAAGAACTAGTCCCAACAGACAGCTCTGGAAGGAGGGTCCCACTCTCCCATCACATCTCCCTTGGCTTTTCTTCCTCATTCAATGGGTATCTACCCCAGCACATCCTGGTACAGGACATGATGGCTCCTGCATCTCTTGGATGCAGCCCTGCTGCTTTGCTACCTGAGGGGAGGCTGAGCTTCTTCAACCCTTCCTTCCCTTTCCATGCTCCCTTAAGAGCTGCTCTACCAGCAGGCTTGAATAGGTCCTCAAGGACCCTTCCTGGTCCTGCCACATCCTCAGTGCCCTGCTGGAGACATGAGTGGATGGAGCATCTTCTCCTCCATCTGCAGACTGCAGCAACAGCTCAACTTCCCAGCAGCCAACCAGTGGGCAGCCCCAGCAGGAAAGGGGAGAGGGGCCAAGAGTGTTGTGCAATGTGTCCACACCACATGAGGCTGCAGGGCCAAGGCTCAAGGGCAAGGGCTGTAAATCAGTGGAGTGGTTGATGTAACAGGGAGCTGTGCAGGGGCTACTGCCATGGGGCACCCCTTCCCATATCTCATGCCATCTCCCAAATCAGCAGTCCCTTCCCACCCCTTTTAGGTTTCATGAGACTCAACAGCTGATGGGGAGAGATGCAGTGAGCACCCTTGCTGACCAAAAGCAGAGCAGGGCTTGGCTGCAGTGGCCACTGATCAATAGCTGCACTTGCTGGCCAGCCAGCACCAACAGCCCCTTGGCCAGCTACGGCTAATGTGACAGAAAGCTGAAGGAAACATGGATTCCCTTGTCATCAACGTGGTAACTACAGTCAGCTTGGTAACTCTCAGCATCATCTCTAAGTGTGTGCTGAAGCCTGATGTGTTGTTTGGGAGCTCCTTGTACTCCCAGGCCCCAGTCTGGCTTCTCTAGTGTCATAGAAAATAAAACTTCCTCAAAGGACAGACTTGAGAAGTCCTGTTGGGTGATGGGTGATCCTTTTTTTTTTTTTTCCATAGGTCTCAAACTCCTGTGTCTGTCCCAGGCAATTAAGCAAAAAGCATTCAATGTGCCCCAGAATCAAAGGAAGTCCCAGTCTTGGCTAAGGCTCTTGACTGTGCTTTGGGGGGCTGTGCTCCAGGGCAGCGGTCCCACTGCTCCTGTCCAGAAATGAGGAGTTGCTACAATATACTGGCTGCAGGCCTGAGGTGGGCTATTTATCTTGGCACAGCTCCCTTTGGATCTCGTGTGCACCAGGGCAGAGGCCCCACTGCTTCTCCTGTCCAGAAATGAGGAGTTGCTTCAGTATTCTGGCTGCAGGCCTGAGGTGGGGTATTTATCTTGGCATGGCTCCCTTTGGATCTCATGTGCACCCATGGTCAAACACTCTGAGGAATGTGTACTCTGCCCACTGAAGACCATGGCACCTGCCCTTCCAGGCCAACATGCACAGCAAAGATGGTTTGGGGCCAGATACAGGCCTGGCCTGGTACCAGTGTGTGCGGTAGAGAAAGACTGGGTGTTACAAAACTGTGGTTCTTAATATCAAAAATGCCCAACAAGAGAGACGTTTAAAATAGTTGCAAAGAAAGGGAAATTATGAGGGAATAAATGAAGGCGAATTAGCCACAACAAATGCTGCTACTTAGAGAGGAAAAGGGGAATGGGCTTTCAGCAAAGGAAGAGCTCAAAGGACAGCTCAAGGAGACAGATGACAGTACAGAAACCAAATGACAGGCAGACAGGAACAACAAAGGGAGGAGTCCTTGGCCTGACATACACTGTACGTGTTAAAAATGTTGTATCAGTGCTAAGGTGAGGATGGGTACCAAGTTAAAGAAATCTTTTCTCCAGAGACTGGGACCCAAGAGGGGGTGAGTCCCTGCAGGAAGAGAAAGATACCCCCAGCTTTTTCAACATATATAATGCTCTTTTCAGAAAGCTGCTCAAGGACCTTGCCTTCCTGCAGTCTATAGAATTCATTCTCATCAGCAAGGTTCTGGAAAAATCATAGCAATAGAAAGAAGGTTGGTTGTCTGTCCAAAGATTGCATAAAGCGGTGCAACAACATCCTTACTTTTTTTTTTTTTTTTTTTTTTTTTTTTTTTTTTTTTTTTTTTTTTTTTTTTTTTGAGCAGAGCCTCCCTTCCTCTAGTGAGCATGCACTGTGGAAATGTCTGGTTTGACCTCAAGAAACTTTTCTTTGTTATACTTCAGCTGTTGCAGAGAAACATGGTGGTTTTCCATCCCTTCTGGTGTTTGTTTGAACCCAGGAGTACCTGGTTTTGCAGATACTATGTGTAAAAAAAAAAAAAAAAAAGCTGTAAGAAGGAAGAAAGGAGCACAAAGACACAGCCTGGACTGAAACCTCAAATCCTCCAAATTCCCCATGTTCTCCTGCAGGAGAGAGACAGCAAGGGCTGCACTGGAGTGGCAA